TACTTGCTTATCTTCACCTTGCTGCTGCTCCTGCCCACCCACCTCTTACATGGGCATTTTCACATGCATTAAATATGCTAAAGAGGCATCCTGAAGCCAGTGCTGTAGAACAGAAGTCTGGTTTTTAGGCATTAAAACACACTAAAGAGGCATCCTGAAGCCAGTGCTGTAGAACAGAAGTCTGGTTTTTAGGCATTAAAACACACTAAAGAGGCATCCTGAAGCAAGTGCTGTAGAACAGAAGTCTGGTTTTTATGCCTTACTTCAATAATGTACAGCAGCAATGGTAAGGTGGTACAAATTGCCTGTGTAGGAACACATAAAATTCCATTTTATGAGAAAACCTTCTTTCCATGCAGAACCAAAAAGCAAAGTACCTGTGGCTAATGCTTTGACACATTCCTTGTCAATTACTCCTGCATGTTTTCACTCATTCTTGTTCCACCTTTTTACCAGCCAACACCACTGTTAGCAGAAAAAGATGTTTTGAAAGTCCTTTCAACACTGCTCGTAGAAGAGGTTCTCCGCTTTAGAGAATGAGCTCTGTCTCTCACCAGTAAGTCATTCTCCCCCATTTTATGCTTCACTCTGTGCACTCTGACTCCTCTGTGCAGCTGGAGGGATGAGTGCAGATGTTGTCACAGTAATGGTACTATTACAGCATGACAGCTGAGGGGAAAACGTGGCAAAACCGTCTTTGCATAAAAAATAATGTTTTTTCAGAGGACTGGTGCAACTGGTACAAGCCAGGTAAAAACTGGTTAGCTTTTGGACACCAGGACTTTGCAGGAATTAATCTGATATTGTAGTTACAATTCTCCCCTTTAACAGGATTATATAAAACTGTCTGTCAAATTAGGGGCTTAAAATGCTTCATCAGTGAGAATGTACATTTGTGGGTGGTTTCAACAGAGCTGCAGAGTAAATTCTGATAGGGAGAGGCATAGTGGGAGTTTGCCAACAGGGCAACTGTGCCTCCATTCATACAGTTCAGTGTTTGTGCTGCTCTGAGATTCAGATGCCAGTTTTAGACGAACAGAAGGAATTCAGAGAAATCAGCTTGTTCACAGGTGACACCACACAGAAGAAATGATAGTTCAGACAGGTGATGACTGCTGAATATTTTTGTGTTGCACATTGGGTCAAAAAAACCATACCCAAGGAGCACTGGCTATTTATGGCAGTAGGGAATAAGGGCTGGGGTTCCACACGGAGTGCTTACTTTTCTTTCAGCTTCGTTTTCCCTTGAAAAATAACATCCAATTTTCATATAGACTCTACTAACACAGCATGAAATACTTGCAGAACAGAGGGCACAGCAGAGCAAGGAGGTTTAGGTAAGGGGTGCACTGGGAAGGTGGTGGATTTGCCAGGTATATGGCATGGTGACATTTCCATCCACTAAAGGGATGCCAAACCCTGAAAACTGATTCCAGGGCAACTCCTCTGCTAAATTCTGCAGAACAGAGAGTGTGTGGGATGCTGAAGTGCAGGGAAATTCCCTGTTATTTTGAAAGTGAGAGAGCTGAGAGAGTGCAAAGACGAGGTACGGGGGGATGCCTGTAGGAGTGCACGATGCTTCAGATTAAAGCAGGCAAAAGCTGGATCTTTTGGAGGATGCAGTTCTAATCCTCGCCAGTGCTTTGGGCTGGGAGCAGGGGAAAGAAAAAAGCCTGGAATCTGGCTGGGCAAGGTGTTGGCTGAGCAGTGTCAGCTCCACCCGCAGGGGCAGCGCAGGAACGCAGGGGATCCTGCTCTGCGTTTTGGGGAAACCGGGAAAACAAGCACGGCGTTTCCTTCCGATCCGTGAGCAGCACGCCGTGTCACCTGGAGTTTAAAAGGCGTTTTATTCCATGCTGTCCTTGCTTTTCCCTGTGCTGATTTTTAAAGGCACCTCTCAGAACAACTTTTTTTTCTTTCTGTAGTGGACAGACCCTGCCCAGGATTACCTGGCCCTTCTGGCTGGGATCTTGTTTGGAACCAAGTAATGGAGATGAGGTTAAACTCACCATCAGTTCTCACTAAAATGGAGTTCAAAAGAGTGGAATCATGCCCGAATACCAATTTTATGTTTCAATGTAAGGATATGGATTGTTGATCACACCATCTCTGTATCTCCTCAACAACTGCAAAGCGTCACTGAAGTGTTTCAGGCTACTTGCTCGTAAGCAAGGTTCATTTTTGGCACTTTATTCTTACTCCTGTTTATTGTCCACCCTCAGGCGTTTCTGCCAGCAGAAAGGAGCGGTGTGCTGCTCCTCGGGGCTCACTGCCAGGGGAAAGGACAGTGAGGGATGACACTGCACAGAGTGCCAGACCTGGCTCTGAGCTTCTCCTGGCGCGTCTGCAATGCCCGGCTGTGCAGGGCAGGGCAAGGCAGGCATCTCCAGCTCCAGCCCCAAGCCAGGGCAGCACGAGCAGCTCTGCCTCGCCTGTGCTGGTCTCGGGGCAGCAGGCAGGGCATGGAGCTCCTGCCCTGCACCACCCCTGTGAGCTGGACTCCCAATGGACTCACAAAATGGGGCAGGAAATGCTTAGGAGTCTCCCACAAGCCTGCCTGGGGGCTCCCTGCTGAAATGGACTCACAAAATGGGGCAGGAAATGCTTAGGAGTCTCCCACAGGACCACAAATAAAAGATATCCCAAAATCTTGTGTATATTGGGTGCACTTTAACTTAAATTATTGCAAGCAGTTGGCACATTGAAAGGAGAAGTCATTCCTGCTTTCTCTTGTTCTTTTCCACTTTCTCGTTTCCAAAGCAGTACAGAGCCTCCAGTCTGTCTCTTCTCAACCAAAGGTGAGCAAACAGCCAAGACCTAATTTGGGATACAGTTCTGTTCATCTTTTTTTCAATCACTTTCTTTGTTTTACTTTTAATGGTAAAATTTGAATTAGTCTACAGAGACTGAATGGTTCTGTTTGTTTTTAATAGATGTGACTGAACAGATTCTGGTTTATTCTGCTGTTGGTAAATAATTTTCCCACCAAAATGAAAATATTTACCTGGTTCTAAATATTTTTTCTAGAGGCCAACCAAAATGCCTTACTCAGTTTCTTTTCCCAGTTTTGTCCAGAGAGAACACCTATAACACTCCAGACAACTGCAGCATATCAAATATGAATGAAAATAATATTTCTTCTGCAATTACATGTTTCTGGCATTTTTATGTTCATTAGACATCATGAAGTAAATGTTCTGTTTGTCAGTGTATATTTCTACACAGCAACATGCTGTGAATGAGAATGTTATTCTTTCTCTCAAGCACTGAAAGCGCATTGAGATTTCCAGGTTTAGTTTTGCAATGAGAACTAAGCATATTGGGATCTCGAGCTGAAAACACTGTTGAAACACCCAGCTAGTATTTATGGCATTGTATTGCTGCCTTAGGCCCAGGAGATACCAAAGTAACTGTATCAAACTTTCTTCTCGATTCCCTTCCTTCACCCAATTACCCCTTAATTCCCTTAATTACTACTCAGCCCTGAAAGTTGCCCCAGAACAGCCAAGACTCAGTGTGCTGAAGGTCTGGGAAGCAGCTGGCTGCTCACCCAGGTTATGTGGCAGTCTGCAGTGTTTCCAGTGGGTCTGAAAGGTGTGGTTGGAGATGGATGGAACCAGCCTGGGCTGGATCTGCCTTTGTGCAGGGACTAGAGAGTGGGCTGTGAAAGGCAGATCTGCCACTGAGATGCTGAGAGAAGTGGAATGTGCCTCCCATGTTTCAGCCTGGTTATCAGAGGTGCTTTCCACTGCTGGGGTCACTCTGCTGGCATCAACGATGGCACTGGTGGTTTAGAGGCCTGAGGGCTGTGGCACCCTCAGCCTGGTGGCCGATGAATTCCCCATGGGAAGCCTGAGCTGGGCACTGCCATAGGTGTGCAAGGGTCATGCTGCTGCTCCTCGGTTTGTGGGTGGCTTCTCTGCCAGCTCTCCCTCACTGTGAGCACGGCAGCAGCAGCCCCAGAGGGCTGGAGCACCATCAGCCCCTCACTGTGCTCTCTTCACAGACCCAACCACCCCAGGGGCACGGACAATCAGGGAATATCCTGAACTGGGAGAAACCCAAAAGGATCATTGAAATCCAGCTCCTGCTTCTGCACAGGACAACCCCAAGGATCCACCGTGTGCCTGAGAGTGTTGTCCTAATGCTTCTTGAACTGTGTCAGGGTTGATACCACGAGCACTTCCCCGGGGAGCCTCTTAGAGTGCCCAGCACCATCTGGGTGAAGAACCTTTTCCTGAGATCCAGCCCAAACCTCCCCTGACACAGCTCCATGGCATTCCCTCGGGTCTCTTCAGGGTCACCACGGCGATGAGAGCAGCGCTTGTCGCTGTTTCCCCTTGCAGGGAGCTGCGATGTGTGCCCCGAGCCCCTCATCTCGGGGCTGGAGAGAGCGAGTGCCCTCCGCCGCCGCTCTCAGGAGCTGCCGCTGCTGGCAGGGCTCGCTCTGCTCTGGGGCTTGCCGTGCTCCCGGCTCGCCGCATTCTCCCGGGAGAACCCTAACGCGCAGATTTTGCCCTGTGCTTTCTGTAGGATGTCCTTCGTGCGGGGCGCGCTTTGAGCGGGCGGGGGCGGCGGCCGCGGCCCGGGGCTCTCGGGGCTCTCGGCCGGAGCCCGGGCAGGTCCGGGGCTCTCGGCTGGAGCCCGGGCGGGTCCGGGGCTCTCGGCCGGAGCCCGGGGCTCTCGGGGTTCTCGGCTGGAGCCCGGGCAGGGGTCGGTGCCGCCGGGCGCGCTGGAGCAGCTGCGGCCTCTGCCGGGAGCAGAGCCAGCGCCGGGAGGGAAGGGGAAGGAGCGGGAGAGCGGTCGGTGGGAGCCGGGGCGAGAGCGGAGCGGGACCTCCCTCCGAGCCCGCGATCCTCCCTCCGCTCGGTGCCCGCGGAGAGGGGGCCGGGCGCGGCGGCGGAGCCGAGCCCGCAGCTCTGAGGTCTCCGCTCCCTCCCTCCCTCCGGCGGGCCGGGCAGCGAGGCCGGGGCGCCCCGCGGCCGGGGCGGGGTGGAAATTTACCGGGTCGGTCCTCAGCGAGGGGCTCGGCAGGAGGCGGAGGGAGGGCGGGGAGCGGCGGAGCATCATCTGGCGGGGAACGCGAGGGACCAAATGACTGAGAGGAAGGGCGGCAGCCGCCGAGAGCAGCGAGCCGCGGCGCAGCGGCAGCAGCAGCCCCGCGCCCCCGGCGGCGATGGCGGCGGGCGGCGGGGCTGAGCGGAGCTGAGCCGGGCCGGGCCCCCGCCCGCGGCTCCGCATGGCGCGGGCCTGATGTGGGAGCGCGGCCCGGAGCCGCGGCGGCGCTGCGGGAGCAGGAGGAGGATGGCGGGGCTGCCGTGGAAGTGGCCGCGCACCCGCCTGCCCGTGGGCGCCAGCGCCCTGGGCGTCTTCGTCCTCTGCTGGCTCTACGTGTTCCCCGTGTACCGGCTGCCCGACGAGAAGGAGATCGTGCAGGGCGTGCTGCTGCAGCAGGGCAAGGCGTGGAGGAGGAACCAGACCGCGGTCGCCCTGTTCAGGTACCGCCGTGCGCGGCCCAAGGGCAGCGGGGACGGCAGCGGCACCGCCAGCCGGGCCCGGCCCGCTGCCAGCCCCAGCCACAACTTCATTCTTTCTCCCCCGACCCTTTGTTTTGTCACAGCGGGCGGCAGGCGGGCAGGGCTCCTTCTGCCCGGCAAAACTTTTTTCGGGGTGTCTCCGTTGGCTGCGGGGAGGAGAAGGGGCTCGGCGCGGGGATGGAGGCTCGTTCCCGCAGGGATGGGTTCCGAGGGGGCGGCGGCCGCCTGCACAAAGGGATGCTGCTCGCTGCCCGGGTATCAGCGGCACCGGCAGCGCCCGTGGCTGCGAACAAAGCCGGGGCTGCAGGGAGAGCGCGGCCGTGGGGCTCCGGGATGCGCAGGGATGAGCAGGGATGTGTGTGCACAGAGCCCGGCCCCTGGGCTCCGGGATGCCTGCGCTGGATGCAGGGATGTCTCCCCGGATGCGCATCCGAGCCAGAGCCCGCTCCAGCAGCCTCGGGAGGCTCTGCGCCGCTCCTTGGCTCCGTGCGGTTTATTATAGAAGCCACGTGAAAAGGCACCTTTTCTCTCCCCTTTGCTCTTGCCGTGCCTGGGAAATGGCGATAATCCTCCCTTGCCCAGCTGCACAGGAGAGGGGGAATGCCGCGACCGAGCTGCCACAGCTGCGAGCCGGGAACACCGGCCGGCTCCCTGCGCTGGGCAGGATTTTTTAATCAGTCTCTTTGAAAGCGTCTGCAGTGGAGACTTGCGTCCTCTCAAAATTTTCTCACATGTTGGGTACAGTACAGGCAATTGCGAGAAAGGCAGATTTCCCTCCCTTTCCCAGAGGGAAGCTGTTTTTTTGTCCCTGTCCTCCAAGTAGCAAATTAAAGATCAGAGTCAGTGGTAATCAAACAGCCTCCAGAAATACCCTCTTCAGTAAAATGAATCAGATCCAACATTCAAGGGACTTATTGTCCCCCTTTAAAAATATTTTTGTTTGTTTTTAAGTGGCATACAGTTTTATTTTAAACTCTTCAGTATTTTCTGAATTTGTTTGCCTTTGTCATGAAGTGGAGCTGATGTTAATATCAAGCTTAACATCTTGTCTGCTGAGATAACAGGAACCTTACAGTTCTTGGAATGCACGTTTGTTGGTTAGCCCCCAAAGCCTGGAGGAAATCTGAGCAGTGATGGGTGATGAGCAGCAATGTGCTGATGCTCTCTCATTAGGCAGGCCTGGAAGAAGTCCTGCCTTTCATACAGAACTGGCTATAAGGTCCAAGGCAGGATCCCTTTCCTAAAGCAACTAACACTAGAAGCTACGTTGATCTTCTTGACTATTAGTTAATCTTGATCCTGTGCACCAAATTCCCCCAGTTTTGGGGGTAGATGAATCCAGCTTTTTTTTTTTTTTTAATTGCCCCCCAGGTTATGTAGGAAAGAGTTTGGTCTATTAGTTGTCAAGTTAGTAAACCAAATGTTGTTTGAAGATTGGTAGTGCTGCTACAGTTTCAGTTTACAAAACAGTTTTAGACCATTTCCACCACATGGTTTAGTAACAAAAACTCTGCGTGGCTTATCAGCTATTCCACTTGCCCATATGTTTTTCCACTCTCTAAACATAGTGATTATCTCAGAGATGCTATTGAAGAGAGTCTCATGCAATAAAAGGAGCTGTTGTTTCTTTTCTGAGCCTCTTGATGAGTTGGTACAGCACTAAATACAATGAACTTTAAATCAATCTGCTTTAAAAGTAGTTTTTAAGAGAAATTGTATGCTGGAGATATGTAGTGAGTATAGTAAACTGTATTATTTCAGCACTTGTGAAGTAGAACTCTATTTTTGCTGCTTTAATTTGCTTCTCTTCCTGAAAGAAGATTTTGAAGCTGAAGTCCATGTCAGGCAAGCTGCTGTATATTTGAGGTTAACAGAAACTCTTTGCTCTGGTCCTGATGTCCCTAAGCAAGCCAGCTGTAAAAACTCCAAATTTAACTTTCTGCTGGAAAATTCCAGAGAATGTCAGTCTCTGTTGGAATGGGAAAGGAGGGATAGAGCTTCACAGAAAACCTGCATCTGAACTTTCAAATAATATGGCTTTCCATAATAGTTTAATATTAAGCGTGCTTTAATGTATTATTAATAAAATATTATGTAAGGACAGTGTTAATTGCTGTTCTCCCTAGCCCTCCTGCCAGGTTCTGGTTAACAGACAATGTTGGTTTCACTCAGTTTAAAGCATAAATTGGAATTAATCTGGGCTAAAAATCCAGTGCTGCTTTGTGTAATAGACTGGCATTTTTGGTATTGCATCACCAGGTTCTTGCTACACAGAGCAAACACCTGCTAGGTTTGGAACTTTCTCCTCCCATGCACTCACGAGACTCCTATTGCTGAAGGGGATGTTGGGTAATTAATTGATGAAATCATATCTTTCAAACCTCAGAAAGACTATTCCCCCTTTGCCTTCTGTACGTGGACCAAGGACAACTTCACTGAGTGACTTAGCAAGCTCAGCACCAGCATCGGGGTAGTTTGGGGTAGTTTGGGTTGAACCCTGGCAACCAAGTGCTGGTGGGCCCTCAGTCTCCAGTGCTGCTTCCTTCTCCTCTCAGTACAGCCACAAACCTTGTGGAAAGATCTGACCCCTGTTCTTCCTTACGCAAGAACCAGACTGGCCTGGTTCTTGTGGAATGATTCAATGGGGGTTTTGTGTTTGAATGGATTTCCAGAACAGCTTTTCAGATATAAATACCTGCATAATTAGCAATGGATGCCTTTACATTTCAAGACACCAGAGGTTCAGGGTAGTCATACAGTGAAAACATCTCCTGTCTGACAAATGCTGAATGTTCTGTCAGTCAGATGGTAAAACTGCTCAATTTTGAGCTGCAAAGTGGTCAAAATAGGAGTAAGACCATCATTAGAGCCACTAATAGCTAATGTGTCTAATCTGCCTACAGTATAATGGCTTGTCATCCTCTGAGGTGGTTAATGTTATTGAGCCCTAATTGTTTTTCCAGATTCATTAGGGGTTTTTTTAGGGCCTAGTGCTGCTGAGATTATTTAGGCAAAAATGTTTTTACTTGTTTTCTGTTATTTGCTGAATAAATTGCATACAGTAATACCTTTAGGATGATTTTGTTTAAAATGCTGCAATTCATTAAAGGCAGAACTTGATCTTTTTATCTGCCTTACAAGCTCCATACACCACAAATCCCAAGCACTGCGTGTTATGTGACCATTCTTTCATTTGTTTGTGGAGGGTGGAGCTTTAGGGAGTGGGGTGCTGTGGGGACAGTGGGTTTTGGACTGCCAGGAGTCCCTGGAGGGGCTGGATGATGGTGAGAGCCTTAGAGGCTCTTCAGGAGGAGATGGGACAGTCCCTGTAAGAAAGGCTTCACTGAGATTTAGCTGTGTTCCTGCTTCTGCTGCTTCAGTTTTGGGTGATGCTGAAAGGTCAGCAGGGATGGTTCTGGGGGTGCCTTGATCAAACTGGTGGCAGATGTCCCCTGTGAACTCACTGCTCATGACCTGACTCCAGCCCAGAGCATCTGCTGCAGCTTGTCTTTACTCTCCAGTGATGTCCCCTCTGGCACTGGCCGTGCTCACCTTGGCTGGTGCCTTCTCCCCTCCTTCCCAGCAGGTTTGTCCATTTTCCATGGCAGAGCAGAGAGGCTGCTGCCCTGGACTCACACAGGCTCAGTGCTGGGCTGACAGAGAAGCCAGGCTCTGTGCTGGCAGTGGGGACGTGCACAGGGTGCTGCTGCCCTGCAGAACCCTGCTCTGCTCCCGGGTGCCAGAGGGCTTTCCCCCCTGGAAGTGCCCCTTGCCAGCTGCTCTCTGCCCACTGCTCCTGTGTGCCCCTGGAGTGCAGGCACAGGAGAGCAGCCCCTGAGCAGCACTGCTCATCCTGGCCTGCCTGGGCACAGAGCTGCAGTGCCAGGGCACTTCCCCAGCTGGGTATGGCAGATGCCATTGCAGAGGCAGCAAGGTTCTCCTTAGTTCAGATGACTTTTTTTCCTTCTCTTTTTATGGCAGCACTGCAAATTACCTGAGTCTTGGGATCCTCGTTGGGCTATTTCAAGGCAAATCTGAGATTAAACTTTGTATTGCTCAGGTTGACTTTAGGTAAGAGTTCAGCCCTTCTTAAACAGCTTCATCAGGTACAGAATTATCCCTGCTTTCCCTAGATGCTTATGAAGGACAGAGCTAGGAGTAGACCTGGGAGATGCTGGATTAGGTCAATTCTGCCTCTATGCCCTGGGAAGCCCTGCCCTGAAACCAGTGGATATGCCCATGTGTTGAGCCAAATCCAGCTCATTTTTCTGTCCTTAGTGGGTGTTGCTACTGCCTGGCTGTTTTCATCAACATTTTACTTGTTTTGTTGTTGTTGCTGTTGTATTTGCTTCACTGGGGATAAATGGAGTATTTGCAATTTGTGGTTTCCAGCTGAGAAGTTGTTTTGGTGAAGAGGTACAATTTTGAAGAGCAGGTTAAAGGTGAGAGAAATGTTCTTATGGCAAGTTATTATTTGGAGGCTGTGAAGAAATCAATCTGTAGAGAGGCTTGGCTCCATATCTTCAAGGTGGATACCTGAATGACATGAAAACAATGAGAAATAATTGTCTGAGTTAGCTCACAGTGTTTTTGCAGGGGAGAGCTGTGCATGGCAAGACAGGAGTTGATTTCAGTTCCTGAGTTCCAGCTCCTGCTCTCCTCCTTCCTTGACCCTAAGAAGCATTTTCTTACAGACTGCCTCGCAGTCCTGATGAAACAGACTGCTGAGATCCCTGGTATCTTGCACCCTGTTGGATTGCTGCTTTCCTTTGGATTTGTAAAAACCCCAGTCTGCCAGTAGATATGGGAGCATGTAGCCAGCTGCCTGAGGCTCTTTTCCTGTTAGCTGGGAGCAGCCAAAGGCCCTCAGCCAGGCACTGGGGAACAGGAGGAGCAGAGACTTTGCTGGAATTTAGGTTACCCAGCTGGGGCCCCGAAAGTCTGGTATGTACACACCAGAC